TTTCTAATTTGAAATACACACTGAGATGAACACCAACCTGCCTCAATTCCAGCCACTGACCCAGGCCTGCGAAGAGTTCCCCGGCGGTAATCGGGGCAGCTCCGCCGGGTCCCAGCCCAGGCCACATGCCCCCGAGGCCGCTCTAAGGCTGATTGTCCCAGAAGCTAAACCAGACTGGGAAAGTGGCATCGCAAACAGGTTCCTGTGACTCAGAGACAAATGCTCAAGTGCGGCGGCCTGACTAATGACCCCGTAACCACCGTATAAGTAGCGTTAAGAGCCCTTCTGCCGTTCAAATGGCCAAAGCTCTGGACAAGCACCCTCTGTACAGCCCCTGGGGAGTGAGGACTTCGAGGAGCTATTAGGGGAAAGTCAAGGCTGCCCAGTCTAGACATAATAAGCCTGTATATCTCTCTCTACAGCTAGAGCTACGTACCTGTGTAGATTGGATATAGACACATGGGTATGAAAAAGGGGGAAAACAGAAAAACGCACACATCAGAGGGAAACCCCCATGTGTAAACAAGCGATGGTGAAGTTAAAGAACAGAAAACAAAAAGTCCGTACACACCAGAAGGACGGCAAGAGCAAAAAGAAAGCAGTATCGGTGTGCATTTCAAAAGGTAACTATCTACTCTTTAAATTCTTACACCAAAGAGGCCCTGGCTGGCGTAGCTCAGTGGATTGAGCGCAGGCTGTGAACCAAAGCATCACAGGTTCGATTCCCAGTCAGGGCATATGCCTGGGATGCAGGCCACAGCCCCCAACAACCTCACATTGATGTTTCTCTCTCTCTCTCTCTCTCTCTCTCTCTCTCTCTCTCTCTCTCTCTCTCCCTCCCTCCCTCCCTCCCTCCCTTCCCTCTAAAAAATAAATAAAATCTTTAAAAAAATTCTGACGCCAAAGAACTGCTACCCCACAGCAGGGTAAGTTTGAGACAAAACACACACAGACATTTCAGTCCGTCACTGAGACAAGGTTAAAATAGTGGCATGTGCTACAAATCAAATAAAATGCTGCGCAGACTGACAAGCCATCCAGTAGAATCATTTCAAGGATGAAAGCCAAACCGTGGGCTGTCCTTTATCAACAGACACGGACCAACACTGTCCAGGGGTTCTGTGGTCTATACGCGTACGTTATTATTCCAGAAACATGAGTAGCGTGCTCCTGCCTTTCTGGTCAACAGCAGGATGTCCATGGAGACCGCTTCCAGCACCCGCAGGCTCGTGGAAGGGCGCATCTGAATGTGATTCCAAGCCACCATCCTATCGCCCTCGTTGTTCCAAAGCTTTCACTTTTTGAAATCTCTACAACTTAATGAGGAGGAAATTGATCCGCAGGAGAAAAATAATAATAACAAGAGGAAGGAAAAGGATGTGACTAATCGTTAAGAATGGAGAAGTACTTTGCGTGTGATGAGAACAGGCACTTACACGGCAGTGAGTACCACAATAAATGATAGTTACAGCAATAACCAATAACTTTACCCCGATCGCAGAAAAACAATCTGAAACTCAATATAGCTAGATATCACATTTTAAGTTATGTGATTTCAAAAGTGTCATTCCATTAGCAATGGAAAATCTCTAAGGCCAAGGTTACGGAACAGAACATGTTTTTCAGAAGGAATAGATTCCTTGATCGACTCTTGCGTGAATTCCAATGACCACAGCATCCTAGGAGCCAGGGGACTCGGTCGCTCTAGAATGCTACCAGGATGGGGGAAGTCGGCCTTCAGGAGATAAGCCTGCCCACAAAGCTCAGCAAAGATTCCTGGAATGTGTACAGGCCTTTGAGGGCGCTGACAGATGGCAGGGCTCGGCCATCCCCAGAAACCCCACCCTCCGGTGACGGGGGGTGAGAGGACATGACCCAGGCACGGGCTTACATGCCCTCTCGTTGTTTCATCCACAGATCTCAGACGTCCAGGTTCTCGCTCCAGTCTCTGCACTATCCTCCCAGCCACAGACTGTCGTTCACAGGCACTTCTACCCAAAACCTCTCCGTCCTCCGAAACCTGACCCAAACCCCACCTGTGCGGTGCGGGTCTCTCCTAGCCAGCCTCACTGAAGTGGCCTTTTCCTCTGAATTTCGCAAACAGCGTCTATCCGTGGTGTTTGGCGTCTCGGCTTCAAGTGCCGGGCGGCCCCCACCGCTTCCTGGAACTGCTCGCTTGCCCTTCACGCGGGTCTGACCTCACCCTCTGCACCTCCGACCCTCGTCCTCCGCCCTCACGCGTGCGGGGCCTCGATGAGTCTCTTCCATGCTGCCCGTCCACCTCCCTGCCTGCGCAAGCTCGTCATTCCTGGAACAGCCTTCCCCGCCTCCGGCCACCGCGAAAAGACGTCGGCAACGCACCCCAGCCCTCCCCGTGACCACAGGGTCTGCACGGCACGTCCCAGGGCCTCCCTTCTAGTCTCCGGAACCTCCGGCCATCGGCCGGGGACAGACACTTGCTTTTCTTGCGCGTTCTTTCCCATCCACTTTATTTCTGTTGTGCAAGTACCTTTTTGAAGTTCTTCCTCCCCAAAGCACACTACCTGATAAATCAGCAGCTGAAAGAGAAAAAAATTTCGCTGTCCTGGTGCGCGTGTTGCTGCAATACTTCACGCATCAGGCTCAGTTTTACGCCTCTCTGTCCCGGTGAAGAGTCGCCGTTTGTGCCGTGACAAGCCACCTCGAGCCGCCCCTAACGGAGGGCAGCGTGTCTGCTTCGAAAACCAAGACGTTGTGTCTGCACCGTCCGTAGCTCTTCCTACTCCTCCAGCAAAACAAAGTTCTTCATTACCTCCCCCCAACCCTCTCCAACTAGGATGCAAACTCCCCAAGAGTGGACACGGGGGTTCTCTGTTGGTCGCTGCCGTGTGCCTGGTGCCCGGAGCACTGCCTGGCTGGCACTCAGCGGTGCCTGGCGGGTACTCAGGGGACGGACGGTGATTGAATGAACCCCCGGATTCTGCCCCCTCTCCACCTTTTCCCTGCTTAATCGGAATACAGACGAGAACATAAATACTCAAGTGAAATCCAAGTCAGGGTCCAATCACTGGTTCACCCTATAAGGTGGGGGGCTGCCCTTGAGCCTCTCACTGGTCTGCTCATCGCCGCCTCCCAGCTGTCGGTGAGGACGGGAACAGGCGTCTACAGAGGACTGCAAGGACTAACTCGGACAGCACAGTGCTCACACACCTGACACCCACAGAATTGATGAACCAGTGTCACCCCAATAAATTCAATGAAGAAGAAACCAACCACAGGTCTTCCTCAAAGTAGAGCCCACGCAGCAGACACCTCAAGTTCACCCCACTTTGGACAGAAAGGGCGGCAGAACTGAAGGAGAGGAACACCCTCCAAGCCCCGCCCCCCAAGGTGCAAACACATGTCATCCCTTTCCGCCAGCTCCGTTTTCCGCCGCCTCATTCAACCCTTCCACAGTTCACGTACCCTCCGTGGCAAAAAGGAAGTAAAACCTAACAGATTTTTTTAAAGTTAGTGATTCAGGCGACACTTGGAATAACTTCCACTTGAGGAAATGCAACTAAGAAGTCCTAGCAGAGACCCCCAAGCTGCTGACAGCTCCACTCTGGAAATGTCCTCCTTTTTGCCCATTTCTGTCTGTCCCTGAATCCAAATTACAAAGTTTAATGACCCCTGAAAAGCCCTTTCTGCCTCCAGGGCTCAGAACTCTGTCTAAATATATTCCTTGGGACTCTCCATAAATGTTTATTGAGTTAAAGGGAGTAAAAAAAAAAAAGCACTGGAAATCTAGCTCCAAAAGCCAACTGCCTGCCCCCCTGGCCGACTCCTTCCTTCCCCCACAAGAGGACCGGCGGGGCGGGGGGGGGGCTGTGGTGGGGGGGATCTGGAGCCCAGAGTCCATCCAAAATCCAGGGGGTCTGACAGCGGCCTCACGAGGTGATGACAGCCAGAAGGTCTGGGCCGTGGATCCAAAACGGGGCCCCGGAAATGCTGGGCGCGGGCCAAGAGGGAACCCCTTCCCCCCCGCCCCGGGGGTGCTCAACCGGGTGGCAGGAAACCAGGCGAGTTCTGTAGGGATCCCAAGGCCCGAGTCGCGTCCCCTCGCCCTCCTTCCTGTTTATAGATCCCGCTGCAGGAACTCCAACCACCGAAGAGAAAGCAGACGTCTCAGAAGTGTGTCAACACATGACATAACTTGAAAAAGCTGGCTGCTCATTGGCGCGAGTTACAACTTGTCCGGCTCACGCAGGAAAACCGGCCCACTTTAATTACTTTTCTCTGCCTCTGCCATGCCGTCCCTCCCTGGGCCCCCGCCAAGATCGGGTTACTGAGAACTAGGTAGCCGCCGTGGTAGGAACCAGACCGTGTGGGCGGCGAGTTGAAAGCAAGGAGCCGGAGCCGACCGCCCGCCAAGTGACGGCGGATTCGGCTTCACGACAATCGCAGAGGCTCTTTCCTCGCACAGGCGCAGGAAGAGGAAGCCTCGGCACCTCCTCGCAGTCCGCACTAAGTTGCCTTATCGCTTGGGTGGCCGAGGGCCCTCGCGGCTCCGCGCCGTTGCCCTCCGGTCGGCCAAAGGCGCGCCACCTTTGTCAGGGCTTCCCCACCAGGAGAGGCGCCGCCTTGAAGCAGAGGGCTTGCCGGGGTCGAAGGGGCAGACGCGGCGCCCGTTTTCCCCTGCCCTTGCGCCCGGGTGCCCGGCCCTGCACCAGCCCGGGAAGCCCGCGCGGCCGCCGCTGGTGGGAAGCCGGGGACCCGCGCGCCGGCGGGCACAGCGGCAGGGCGCACCCCAGCTCTCCCCGGGTTGGCTGCACCCACCGCCAGCCGCCGAGCGAGGCGGGGCTCACCATGCCCTCCGTGGGGGGCGGGGGGAGCCTTTCTTGCGCCCACGCGATCCCTTACTCGGGAGAGAACGGGCGGATGGACCCCCGGCGAGGCTACATCTCCTGCTGGCCGCTGCGTCGGGGAGGGCTCCACAGACAGCCACTCACACCCACTGCCTGCCCCCGGCCCTCTCTCACCTGCTTGCACCGTGTCCGAGAGATCGTGCCCGGGGGCCGCGGTCCTGGGAAATTCCTTCAATTTCCTGGCGCTGAGGTTCAACCCCCCGGAGTTGGCGGCTTCCTCCAGCGCGCGTTCCAGCCCCCGGGTCAAGGGCAGGTTGAAGCCCCCGCCGCTGCCGCCGCCGCCGCCTCCCCCAACCCCGCCGTTGGCTCCGGTTCCTCCGTGGTGCTGATGGTGGTGGTGGGCGTGATGGTGTGGGGGCAGAGTAGACACCGAGAGGGAAGGGACGAAAGGTTGGGGTTCGCTTCCCGGCGTCGCCATCTTCTCCCGGGCCCCCACCCCTACCGCCACCCCGCCCGCCGCTCCTGCGGGGGGGGCGTCACAGCTTTCCCCCGGGAGGGGGAGACGGCTCCGGGTGCCGCGTTCCTGCCGGGCTCCGCCGAAAGATGCCGGGAGCAGGGGAGAAGGGTGTGGCGGGCGCCGAACGAGGGGCTGGCGACGAGGTGGCCGTGGCAGCTCGGTCTCAGAGGTTTCCTGTCCCGGGGAAGCGGAGCACTGCGGCGGCGGCGGCGGCGGCAGGGAGCGCGCATGTGTCTCCACCCTCCCCTGCGCCCTCCTCTCGGCGCGCTCTCCCCTCCTCCGCCGCCGCTCTCTCCTCCTCCTTCCCCGAAGCTGTCAGCCCAGCGCCCAGACTTCCTCCGCCGCGAGCCGGCGCTGGCGCTCGCTGCTGCCCGGCGCTCGGCCGCGCGATCCGGGTGCGGGGAGGGGGTCACGTTCATGGAGACGCCCCATGCCTCTGGCTTTCTTTTTTGCTGCCGGGAACGGGAAGTGGTAAGGGACAAAAGATTTTAGAGGGTCTAAGAAGCCGGTGACGAGGCCATAGACGGGATTTGAAATACAGTGAGGTCACGGAGAGGTGAGAGGTTATCTCAATTCTGCGAATTACTCTGGCTCTGTGACCCAGCGGTCCCCCAGACGCAGGTTTCCACGGTGCTGTCCAGCCAGCGGACAGGCTGGCATGTGGGTGCCTGCCGTGAGCCAGGCACTGGTCTGGGGAGTCGACAATAGTGATCTCGTTAATCCAGGAGCCCTGTGAGCAGAAAATCGTGTTTTCCCCAGTCTACAGAGGAAGTAAAGAAAATCGGCTAAGGTCACCCAGGCACCGCTACCGGTGCGCTCCCAGGCCATCAACAAACAGGAAGGGCAGGTTTCGTGAGTGAAGGTAGGAAACGGCAGACCCAGAAAGGAAGGAGTTCCAAAAGGACGGTAGTTTTTATGGGGGGCAGAATACATTGTCCTATGCGGGGGAGGGGCTGCCTAGGGCTGCCGGAGCCCCAGAGTCGGGTGGTGCACGGCGAGGTTAGAGAACCAGTGATGCCAACAAGCAATAGCTCGACTGGTTACAGGTTAAGCCTGTGCACAGGTAGGTACCTTAGCGTCCCCCACAGCTCCTGTTCCCTGGCCCTGTGGGGCGTGCAAACTGACGTGTCTGCTTGCAGGCAAATCCACGTTCGGTCAGAGCAAGGCTGGCACGCCAGACGCCACAGGACAGGACACCAGAAGGGCAGACCAGCTGGAAGACTGATCGAGCCATTTCCTTCGCCGCGTTTCAGCGCCAGCTCTGCAGGGCAGCGACTCTCCACCCGTGCGCCCCGAGAATCTTCACAACACGCAGTACCTGACTGTTTAGTCAGGGGCACTGACCTCTTTTCCCTCACACTGTCAAATTTTTTTAAAAAAATTACAACAGCCAACACAACAATGGCCACCAAGGGTGATTGAATCAAAATTGTACCTTTTACCTTTTTTTTTTTGCTAGATTGGCAAAAATATATAATACTTTTTTGGTATGCCACAGATTCTTAGTAATTAGTTTGTGTGTGCCATGAGATGAAAAAAAGGTTGAAGATCGCTGCTTTGGGGCCTTTGCTTTTGCTCTGTACCCAAGGCTGTCACTGTGAGGCACTCGGCTAGTGGAAATGAAGGTGCTGGGTAAGTAGGAGAAAATAATACAGCCCCTGGAGTAGGGGGGCAGTGCTGTAGGTGGTCATGGTGATGGTCCACACAAAAGGCTGGAACTTATTTCATCAGCCCCGGGCAAAGGCGTGGTGTGACCTTTGTCACCTGCCGGAACTGCGTGCCCACTCCATGCACTTGTTCTGAAGGGATTCCAGGCTGGGTAGAACATTCTAGTCTCTGAGGAGACACACGCCACCTGCTGGTATCCTCCCCCCAGCTCTCCTCTCTCACCCTCCCTTTATTCCACCCAGCCTCCCAGACTTGAAAAAACAAAGCTTGAAAATAATAATCATGATGGATAAAAGTTTACTTGCATCACTTATAAACATTAGCCTACCTTCCCCTTTCCTCACTGGTCTTCCCCCGAGAGGGAAGCGAGGAGCAGAGAGAGAGAGAGAAAATTCTGTTGAAAACCTTCGGCTGCAGCCAGATGGCAGTTTTCTGAGCCGTTGGCGGGTGCGGCGAGGACAGCTGCCAGACCCCACATGCCGTGCAGACCGCGGGTGGGGGGGCGCGTCGTATAGAGTATAATCTTTTTAAAAAAAATAGACCACCAATTCTTTTCTGGAGGAAATGATGGGAGATGAGTGTAGGATTTGCTTTTTTTTTAAAAGATTTTATTTTTAGAGAGGGAAGGGAGGGAGAAAGAGAGAGAAACATCAATGTGCAGTTGCTGGGGGTTGTGGCCTGTAACCCAGGCATGTGCCCTGACTGGGAATAGAACCTGCGATGCTTTGGTTTGCAGCCCGAGGTCAATCCACTGAGCTACGCCAGCCAGGGCTAGGATTTGCTTTTTAACAAACGACCAGTCCTTAGGTTAGGTGGACCTAATTGGTAACAATAGCTTTACCTTCTGCAGATTACTAAAGGGTCAGCGTGAGGGAGGGACGGGTCACCTAGGCCCTCCCTCCCCACATCCCAGAATCCAGGGGAGTGCCGTGCATGTAATAAGCACACAGGGACACCAGTAATTAAGCACCATACACTAGGCCAGGTGTTCCACAGGTTTGTTGACAGAGCTTTCAAAGGATGGCCCCGAATAAAGGAGTTTTTCCCTAAAACGAGAGTATGTGCCCCTTGAGACTGATCTCCATGATTTCCAAATATTCGAGAAACTGTACAGGCCATTGTTTTCTAGTCACTTTGATTCTTCCCTCTTTTTTTTCCCAGGAAGGTGGACAGCTCCGTTTCATTTAATGCCATTCTCACCCCCCTGCTCTGTGGCGCAGGGTCCCTCCGGACGCCACCGTGTGACGTTGCCCGAAGTGGCTTCTTGGGGAGTCCAGAAGTGGACTCCCAACAGAGCACCCAGAGGGGCCCGACGCGGTCAGACCCTCGCTTCAGACTGTTCCTGCCTCATCGCTCCGGGTGCTCTGAGACACACAGCCTGTTTATAACACGTTCTGACGTCTCCGGAAGTCCATTTGATCTCGTTTTCTCTCAGTGCGACCCAGAGTCCTAAATAACATAGTCGGGTTACCATACATCGGTCTTCAGTCCCTCTTGTTTTCCTGTAGAGCCTCACTTTTGAATAGTCCAAAAATAATCTTTTACAAACTAGTTGGATGATGGCGGCAGCTTTTTTTTATGCTTCGTGTTTACACCTTCCAATCATTTCACAAAGTTAATGGAATTTAAATTATTTTTTTAAAGATTTTATTTATTTATTTTTTAGAGAGGGAAGGGAGGGAGAAAGAGAGACAGAGAGAAACATCAATGCGCGGTTGCTGAGGGTCATGGCCTGCAACCCAGGCACGTGCCCTGACTGGGAATTGAACCTGCGACACTTTGGTTCGCAGCCCGCGCTCATTCCACTGAGCTACGCCAGCCAGGCGGAATTTAAATTATTAAGAAAATGGGGAAAATAGGAATAGTCTCAGCTTAAAAAGATGGGCTATTAGGGAAAGAGCGATCAATTGCATCACCAAATGAAAAAATTTTAGAAACTTTTTTTTTTTTAATTCTTACGTCCAGGAAAGACACCAGATCACAGACTCGTCCACATTTAAGACCTAGCTCTTTCATTCTTGCCTGAAAAACGGAGCTGTGGACAAGCTTCTAAGAACCAGTCTTGTTAAGAACGGCAGACAGATTGGGGCATACGCTTCGGTGCATACTGCTTTGTCAGAAAATCACCGAGAACTCCTGTTTGGTTTGGAACTCCAAGCATTTGCTGACAGCCGGGCGTGGGCAGCCCCGAGTGTCCTCCCCGGCCCGGCCCTCCGTCTGCAGCCCCGTCTGATTGGGCAAGCGCGGCTGACGCAGGGCCCCTCGCCCGGGGCAGACCAGTCCGCGCGCCAGACTCCCTGCACAACGTAAGCCAGAGCGCACAGAAGGCCTCTCAAATAGCAACGGGCGCGGACTTCGGGCAGGATCGTGGCTCGTTCACACCCTTTCACCTTGACATTCTCCAACTTCTCCGCTTTAGTTCCCCCTTTCCTGAAAAAGGAGCAAGACTCCTCCCTGGAAATAGGGCTGTTTTCTGTTGCTCCCTCCGCACGCTGTCGGTTCCGACACATCCTCTCTTCGTGCTGCATCTGTAAGTGTCAGCGGGTGTTTACCTGTACATGACCAGTGTCTGGTGCATTCGCTGGCTTTCAAGTACTTCCGGGGCAGGGCTCAGGCCTTCTTATTGTCAACCCACCGCCCAGAAAACCGCACAGGTACAGGTGTCTGACTGAGGTGTGTGCAAACCATCAGGCAACAGATAACGCCAACATATACTTCTCAGAAGGAATATAATCAATAATACTACCTTGGACATATTTAGGGAACTTTCCTAACATCCTGTAACACTAATCTGAACCAGTTGGTTAGTGGCAAAGTGACCCTGGGAGAATGAAAAAAAAAAAAAAAATTAAGACAATGTTCCAAGTTTGTCTTAAAGCCGAATGCATTCAATTTCAGTAACTGGGAAATGAAGTGGGAAATTGTGCCTTTCTTGTCTATGTTCCAGTAGGGAAAATAATAATGGTCATAATAATTCTACTGCTTTCTTTGTATTCTTATTTTTGAAGAAATAAAAAGGAGGCTCCTAGAGCCATCTCCCAAATTAATTTTTTTAGTGTTACTTATCTGGAAAATCAAAAAGCGTAGGAACCGCTCATGAACATGCCTGCTTTTCCTGAAAGGGAGTTAGTCACACTTACCTTCAGCCGTCTGCCTTGCAGCGCTTTCCCAGGCTTTCCCCACACCTGCGGTGACGTAAGGCAGTGCCTGGGAGTTTGGGGAGAGTGTGGATTTGTTTGGTTTTCTCCACTCCCACCCTCTTTCCATTTTCCAGGCACTGTCCTTCCAGGAGCTCCCACAAGTCAGAGAGGAGGGCGTCCCCACCTTTGGATTTGGGGATATTTCGCAGCGGATCACTGTGCAGACCCGGTGGTTTGCCCTCTGCACCCCAGCCTCCCACCAGCAAAACTCTTCACCCCTCCTCTGGGCCCACCTCTCCTTCTCGTGGGGCAAGGGAGCAGCCGCTCCCACCCTGCGGCCAGCCCGGCCCTGCCGCCTCCTCCTCCCCGTTCCCCCGCAGGTGGACACGGAGCACCACCGGCTCCCAGGCCAGGGAGGCGTTGTTTGTATGCTCTTTTCCATTTAACGTGCGGCTTCCATTCCATAAAGAGACCACAGAACCTGGGCCATCACGATAAGGTCCGCAGCGAGGCTGCCTTCCAGAGAGAGTCTCTCTCTCAATGGCAACAGGGGAGCTGCTGTCTGCAGGAGCAAACTGCATGCGCTTCCAGCCTTTGCTCTGTTTCCATAAATACGCCGGGTCTCGTGATGGCATGCCAATGCCGTGTGGTTCTTATTGTTCTTATACAAGATTTTAAAATATTCGCACAGCAGAACAAGCAATCATGTTGCATAAAGACAACGTGCTGACCTAGAACTTAGGAGGGAGAACGGCATCTCAGCGAGCCTGTGAGGAAGGCACGGCTTGGACCACTCAGAGGGGAAGCTGACTGTGCACAGGGAGTGTCTGGGGCTAAATGTGGTGGATGCCTCCCGGGGTAAGTTGTAAGGGGACAGTGTCAGTGAGCGACAGCCACCCCTCTGGATTCTGTCAGAAGCGTCTCGGGAGGCGACCAGCGGAAAAGAGTCGCTGGAAAATAAGGACTGAAAGGCACCGGTAGGCCGGATTTTAACTTTTAAGGAACTGTGTGTTTAAGCAACTGGCTTTTGATACTAATCCTCAACCGAGGACATTTTTTTTCCGTTGCTCTCAGAAACAGGGAAACATTAATGCAAGAGAGAGAAGCATCTATTGGTTGCCTCCCATACACACCTGGGTGGGGGATTGAACCCACAACCCAGGTGTGTGCCCCAACCAGGGATCGAACGCTTCAGTTTCAGCACAGCGCTCCAACCCACGGAGACTTAGGAATGAGGCCGGACCATGAAGCAATGGTGCAGAAGCAAAGAAACGTCTCAGAAAGAAAGCTCACCCCCTTCTTATCTCCTGGCAAACCAGGTCACCAGGCACCACAACCCACCAGGGGTCAGAAGCGAAACCAGTTAGAATGTTCTTGAACATACGCTTGGTGCAGAAAGAGCAAAGTCAGGCTTAGCAGGGTTGGGACCAGAGAACTGACCAAGAAGGCCGTTCCAACCACAGTGAGGGTGCACAGAGCCAGAAACCTTCCTAACAACCACAGGGGCCTGTGTTTGCAGGGCCCTCACAGCCACTGGAAGCCCCACACAATTGAGTAAGAGCAAGAGCCGTCTCGGGCTCATGCGGGTTGAAGTGAATTGCAAGCCAGTGATGCGGAGTGTGCGTGGTGGAGCCCAGCTACGGGAGACAAGTCCAGTAAGCAAACAGGACCCCAGGCGAATTGTCTGGGATTCAAGTCAGGGCCCCCGGCTCTGTGAGGAGGGTCACAGTCCAACCAGGAAGCTACTGGGGGGCACAGGGTACGTATCTCCACCTGGATGGAGAAGAAACTGCTAACAGTAAGTGCTTGTGGGAAAGAAAACGGGGAGAATCGCAGGGGAGAGAGACTTCGCTTTTTCCAGATACCTTCTTGTTCACTGTGAATGCTTCACCTGTGTGTCTGTAATTGCGTTTTAAGCAATTAATGAATTGGATGCAAAATATACCAATGGAGGCGATTGAGCATGAACCAACAGTCCTTGGAGAGCTGCTGGCGAGTCCTGAGGAACTGGAGGTGAAGAGGCCAGAACACCGTCCCCGTGATAAGAGGTGAGCTAAGGAGCCTGCTGCGAGGCACAGGCACAGGGGAGAGTGGATGGACGAGAAATATTTGGATGGATGGAAGAGACGATCGAGCTTCAGCATGAAACAAGAGTTTGCTGAGTGCGTCAAAGTCCGAGGCAATATTGGCACTAGCCTGCCTCTGCCCCGAGTCGTATCAAATGCCGGAGGTAAGGGGACATGAAAGCCCACCTCTGAGGGCGCACCCCCAGGACAGCTTATGAGCATCAGACGGCGGCGGTAGGAGGAAGACAAGGGTCTCTAAGAAGTAGTAGGTGTGAGCTCCTTATGGCAAGGATTCGGAGGCTAGGGCGAAGGAAAAAAGATTTAAAGGTGACCCAAAAAAAGGCAAATAAAGCAGGGAAAAACTCGTTGGATGTTTAAGATGGGAAGGATCTGAGAAGATCTGAAAGAAGAAAGAGGCCGTGAGGAAGATCGGGGTGCTCAGGAAGCAGGAGTGGGAGGGGAGGTGGGGTGGGTGCTTGAAGGTGTGAGGACCAGGAAAGGGGAGGAGTCGAGAGGGGTGGGGTCCAGCACAGATGGAAGGACTGACGTGCCTCCTCTGAGCCTGGAGCAAAAAGGTCAGAGACCTAAGGAAGAACATTAACGTGCCGAAGTAGTGATTCAGACGCCTTTATGATTGCGTCCTGAAGGGTCCAGAATCTAAATAGATGCCATTTGCTAAGAGGAGAGCTAGAGGCAGGAGGTGAGAAGGGAGATTTATGAATATTTTTTAAAGATTTTATTTACTTATTTTTTAGAGAGGGAAGGGAGGGAGCGGAGAGAGAGAGAGAGAGAGAGAGAGAGAGAGAAACATAAATGTGCGGTTGCTGGGGGCCGTGGCCTGCAACCCAAGCATGTGCCCTGACTGGGAATCGAACCTGTGACACTTTGGTTCGCAGCCCGCGCTCAATCAACTGAGCTATGCCAGCCAGGGCTAGATTTATGAATATTTTTTAAATCAAAAAACCACAGAGGATGCACTCCATTATAATTAGTAATATTAGATCTTTTAAAAAAAAGATTTTCTTTACTTATTTTTAGAAAGAGGGGAAGGGAGGGAGAAGGAAAGGGAGAGAAACATTGATTGTTGCCTCCCATACGTGCCCCAGCTGGGGACTGAACCCAAAACCCAGGCATGTGCCCTGACTAGGGATGGAACCGGTGACCTTTCGCTGTGCAAGACGATGCCCAACCAACTGAGCCACACTGATGGGTGTGGCTATTTCAGGGTGAAATAGTCAGCCTTTGACCTCCAGCCCTTCCCAGCACATTGGCCTATCGCTGAAATCTTGATCTGCCCACAAGTGATGTTTTTCCTCTTAGGTATGTCTATTTGTTTATACGCCTA